GTACAGAACCGAAAACCGTGACCCTAAAACCGTGATACAAACCGAACCGTGGGTTTTGTGAACCGTGCCACCCCTAGTAAGCTGTGTTGGTTATGAATGAGAAGTACAGTGCTGGAGTTGTTTATACATGTATGGTTACCTACTGCAAAAGTTAAAGTTATAAAAGCTGAAACAACGACATCATGATGTCTTCTCCCATGTGCCAGTTTGACTTTGCGGAGGTGTTCCTGCACCAGTCCATCCACACCATTGAATACTGCTTGGGCTGCATCTCCAACACGGCCTCCTACCTGAGGCTATGGGCTTTGAGCCTGGCACATGCCCGTAAGTATTGCCAACACTGACCTGAGACAAAGGCTCTTCTTGTCCTGATCCTGCAGATATCACATGTAAACACTACAACCTGTCATAAAGGGTTTTTTTGCCTTTGATTTTGTTGATTTTGTTTGATTTTTGTTGAAGTTATTTCTGCTGATTAATCTGTTCCATAATTTCATTATTATTGTTGTGCTTTCATCAGCATTTTCTCACACCCTAACAATTTTTTTTCAAAGAACAAGCTGCTATTCGTGGACATGACTTATTGAAAATATACAATCTGAATTTTTTTTGGCCAGTATAATTACTTTTTGTGCACTGATGAACTGAAATGAGATACGTCATTGTCCTTTAAATACTTGGTGTTTAACCAGTTTTAACCAGCGCTTGAATTTGTGATGCAGCTCTCAGTTCTGAGTTATCAGGACATGCACATGAGCTGGATAATCTGCTTGCCTGTGTGCTTTGTCAGAGCTGTCGGAGGTGCTCTGGGCCATGGTGATGCGGGTCGGGCTGCGGGTTGACACCAGCGTTGGCATCATCTTCCTGGTGCCTGTGTTCAGCCTGTTTGCTGTGCTCACCGTCTTCATCCTGCTGGTTATGGAGGGCCTGTCTGCCTTTCTTCATGCCATACGGCTGCACTGGTCAGTAATCCTGCTCTGCTCGTCCGTTCAGCAAAATGAACTATCATTCCAAAATATCTTCAGTTGCTGTTGTAAACCATGGTATATGAGGTAAGATCTTTATGTTCTTCTTCCCTCTGCTGTGTAGGGTAGAGTTCCAAAATAAATTCTACAGTGGGACAGGTGTGAAGTTTGCACCCTTTGCGTTCTCGCTCCTCCCCTCCAGTTTCGAGCTCCATGGCCTGCTGTGAATCTGACACTTGGAATCCCGCCCTGGGATTCTGGACTTGACTTACGGGGATTCTGTGACATTGAGCCTCATCGCTGAATAACTCTTATTTCTTCCTTTTTTTCCCATAATAAAATCTTTGTTGCACTGGATGCCTTATACTGTTGCAACCAAATATCATCAGATCATATTTTGTTTTAAATGAATCTTCGCTATTTAATTGATTTCTGGTTCTTTTGTGTGCTTTATGACCAAATGTGACACACTTTCATCTTATAGGTTTAAGAAAGCTTGGAGGATTTGATTTTTGACATGAGCAGGTACCTCTTTTATACACGCCGAAGGAATTATACATATAAGATGCTCAAATTCCAGCTAAGTAACCACCCTAAGGTGTTTTCTTTTTTGTTCTATTGTTAGCTTAAATGTGTACAATGCAGTTTGCTGGGTGCTTCTGTCCCAAGGGTGGAGACTGACCGTAATAAATGAAGGTAGCTTGTAGCCAACATCTTGCGTCACTATATGAATGTCAGCACTAGACTGATTTAAGCTTAGGGTGATACGGTCAAGCCTGTATTATGATTCATGTTAAGAAAGTGGAAAGCACAGTTCATCTTTGGGCGACAGTTTTAATTGATGCCTTTTTATAAACAAAATGTAATTTTCCATACTGAGGACAGGTACAAGTGACCTTGAAATTGACAACCTGTATCTTCTAATGAATGAATGGTGCAGCAACTTAGATGACATTTGCCCTTGTGAAATGTGTTGATAATATGAGAGTGATAAGCCAATTGGGTAATTCAGGGACAAACTGGACTACATAAATGCTGTGGTGGTTTCCCAAAGGGGTGAAATCGCATCCTTTTTCCCTTGTACTCTCAGATTTGTTCTAATTGTATTTATTTTAATGAATGTGTAGTTATTATCATAACCCCTTCTTATTGTAAAGCAACAATGAGGCTAAAGCTGATTTGATTTTTTTTCATTAAAAAGTTGTTGACTTGCCATTACATCATACATTCCCTGACGGTGAATGTCTTTTTTACAGAACAGAATTTTCAAAATTCACAAAAAAACTAATGAAAACTAATAAAGCTGATGACTGGGTTATACAGTGCCATGTATGTTGACTTAATCTTGTATGTCGGTGGTTGTCAGTGGTACTTTTTCTGTCATGCCCCCCTTTGAAAGCAGAAGAAACTACATGTCTCCTTGCCCCACATTTATTTTATCAATTAATTGATATAACACCAATGTAAAAATGTGCCTTGTGAAAATAAAAATGAATTTAATCAAAACACATTTTGAAGATGAATTCACAAAATATGTGCCATCCCAGCTAGGCTGACTTCTTCATCTTTTAAACTTGGGTTTGAAATGATTCCCGTAAGATGACTTAGAAGAATTGTCTTAGAAGGTTTTGCTTGTTTGAGAACCACTATTTTATATGTCCCAGCCTATGAAGATTTGTAACTTTGTAAAAAATCATTTTATATATATATAAATTATTATTGGTATTGAATTTCCTCAATTAAATAGTGCCAAAAATGAATGGGGGGAGTGGCTGTGGAACAGGAACTAGAATCAAGAGGAAGTGAAGCTGCAAGGTTGCTATAGCAACACCAAACTTCCAACTTAAGGAACCGAGAGGTTCCGATGGTTTTGACATCCTCAGACCCCGTCGGCGGGTGTATTTTCGGTAATTCGTGTGCCGGCTAGAACGGGAAGATGGAATTTGACGACCCCCGCGTTGAGTGGATACGGAACCGCGTGTGCGCCGCTTTCTACATGCCAGAAGTGGGCTGCTTCAAAGAGCTGCTGGGGAGAGGGGACAGGGAAGAGGAGCAGAAGATCGCCCGGTTTCTGAACGAGGTCACGGCTGAGGAGTCCACATCCATGCTGCTTTTCTTCAAAACGGTGCGGGAGGAGGAGGTCGAAGTGGAAGTACCGGTCGTAGGTGAGGACGGGAATTTAGTTCTCTGATATTTAATTTGCTGCATATTATAATGCTCATACAGGATATAAACTAAATATATTTGGCTCAAGGATTTTACAATTAAAACCCAGAGTTTAAAAATTGAATATAAAATTCGTTCCAGAAGATGCAAAGGATTTTGTAAATGGGGATGGTACCATTGAGATGCAGGGTCAAGCCATCCTGTGCGAGTCCACCAAGTCTCAGAGTCAAAGAGGTACGTCCGGAATCAGTGACAGGTGGACCCAGGACCACCACGGCACACGTTGTACTTCTCAGCTACACCTAAATATACTGCATAGAGTTGCATGGATCGACTTTTGTAATTTATGGAGCGTATTTTATGTCTGCTGTATGTCATATACACTACGTGCAGAATTATTAGAGAAGTATTATTCCTGTTGATCAGGGGTCTCAAACTACCTCCCGTGGGCCACATACGGCTCGCAATATAGTATTATTTTACTATTTAATATGGTCTTCAAATCAAAATCAAATCAAATTATCGCTTTACTTTACTTTTAATTGAGTTCCGAAGACTAATATTACCGGTTTCAAATTATAATCATAAAGATAACTGCAAGCAGTGACAATCGGGTCCAAAGCAGAGGCGGAGTCAGACATTTTATACACCCGGGGCTTAGCCCCAAAGGGTAGTATGCATGTGGGATTGGGGGGGGTGGGGTTAGAAATGACTGAAAAATATGCTGTGAAGTTGAAGATTTATTAGGCTGTGACTCTACTAACCTATCAGAAGCTTCTTAAGCT